TAAATGAAGCTGGCTTTCTGATTGACTTTGCTTGTCAGAAGGTTGCAAAAGATTATCACATCACCCCAGACACTGCAATGGCCATAAATATGAGTCAGTTGCCAAGCCTCTGAGATTTGATCACATGACCATGGGGAAGCTGCAATGGTCATAAGTGTCAAAAACAGTCATAAGTAACTTTTTTCAGTGCTGTTGTAACTTCAAATGGCACCTAAATGAACTTTTGTAAGTAAAGGACTACCTGTATGACTTTATGATATCAATTACATCAGTGATAAATTAACAGAAAAGTGATTTGCTAATTGTTGAAGCTGGTAAGAGCATGGTTTCAGAAAGAGAGCCTCCATGCATAAATACATGGGCTTTTTATAATTTGATCTCATTTATTGAACTCATATTTTTACTCAAGTTGAGTAGAAATGTTCTTCCTACAAACTTTTTCTTTCGCAAACCAGCAGTGTAAATGCAGTGCTAGACATTTTTAAAAGAGAGCAATGGATAAGATTTTCTTTACAATCAGAACAAAAATATTCCTTTATTTTTTGCTTCCTATGTGCATTTTGAAAATTTAATTGCAGAAACACTAAACAAGTATAACATATTATTTAATTACAAATGATCTGTATGATTATTTCTCTTTCTTGTTCCAAAAACTATTGTTATTTTGACTTGAGTATACGTTTGTAAGTTAATTACTCCAGTGGCAATCACACAGAGACAAATGAAAACATTTGCAATGATGTAAAAAAACTGTGTATAACACATTGCATGTGTTACATATATTATATACATAAAGCTATTTTGAAACATATTGTTTAATTTCATGCTGCGTCAACATTTCTTAACATATATGTAGAAATGCTTCACTACTTTACATATACAATTACACTCACATTTTTGCACACATTTACACATAATGACATTATTTTAGAAGAGTCATAACATATGCATGTAACCTTATTCTACTACTCAGATTTTGAAACACAAATGTATTATTTAAATATCTGGCATAAAATCAAATTGTATGAATATATTTCTTTAAAAATGAAGTACTGTCATATATTTCATTGCCCAAATGTTAGCACTGTAGAGATATTGACAATAGTATTTACAGAACTGGCTATTGCTAGCCATTTTTGATACAAAATGTAAGATTAATGTGAATTACTACTCTTCGCTATTATTCACATGCCATGTGTTTGAAAAAGAATATTACATAATCTGACACCTCTAGTAATATTGGAATTGTATCTGGCTGGGGAAGATGGTTCACACTATTTTTCCACAGGTAACAAAGAAGTTTTGTCTGGTGTTTAAGGGGATATGGACAATCTAGATAGAAGCTTCAATTATTATGAAAGGGTGATCTTCAGTTGATGTGGACTGTACTTTTAGTGAATGAATGTCTTTTTTCAATATCTCAGAAATAGCATTGACCTATTTTATCATTGCAGCTAACTTGTACTTCTCCCTTCCCACAAAGGATTAGATGCTAAGAATATTTTCATCAACAAAAAATTCTTTACAATTGTTTATACCTAAAGGGATTTGTTTCAAACTCCTATACACAAATGCACTTAATATGTTAATAGGTCTTTATCATATATCTGTTTTCCATGTCATTATTTTACGGGGTGAGATAGAAGTGGAATTTGCTTGCATTGCATGTAGTTTTGTATAAAATAGTAATCTCTAACCGTTTGTTCCAGAAAGAAGATTCCCAGCTCCAAGACTAAATATCTTTCCAGAGTTATATTAAAATACTTGCTTCTTAGCTTCCAAAGAATTAGCAATAGAACACCAATCTTTGTTATCTCCCTCAAATCAGCTCTGATTATTAGAATTAATCTGTAACTCTTACCACCTTCATTATCCTCACTCATCTGACTCCCTCATGTTCAACAGTCTTTGAGATCTCTCCAGCAATGGTTTCAAAGTTTATTTCTCTTCTAACAAATTCTCCTGCGCAGCTTTTGAACTTTAAGAGTTTTGTGTATGGCTGGAGATGCAAGAAGAGTCTTTGAAAATGGGTTCATGTTTACCTAGAGAGTTCTGTCATCAAGGTAACACTAAACCTCCAAACATTTCAAGGTTCTCCATAGTAAATATCAGCAGCACTAATTGGACTGTCTACCAGAGACATTGTAAGATGTTAGGTAGATCATCATCTTGTGTACTGGCAGTTCTTCACTTATTCAAACATGATATTACTACCCGTAGTTTACATCCTATTCATTCAAAACATGCCACATTGAATAGAGAGAAATCTTTGACAAACATATATTAACAGGCACAAAGGAAAATATACACCAGGTTCCAAACTGCTTCTATAAACACATTGGTAGAAAATGCATTCCTATATTTCCTTCTGCTTTGAGCCAGGGGTGAAAAGCTATTGTGCTTGCCTCAATGTAATCCTTGTATGCTGAGCATGTTGAGTAATTCCAGTAATATCATTTAAAATCATCAGCTCTTCCGAGCTTTGAAGATGCTCACATTATTACAGTTCTTGGGCGTGGGATGGGGGCGGGGGAACGCCAGGTCTCTGGTGCTTTTGAGAAGGCTAGGAGGATAGAAGCTTGCTAAACTTCAAGACGAAGGATGTTTCCCAGGGCAATGGCTGCCATAGAAAAGGCATGCTCCCTAGCTCCCAATAGTGGCAATATTTTAAGGAAGGGACTAAGAATAAGCCCACCCTATCAGTTCAGAAGTGGCTTTGTCCTGTTTTGCTTTAATTCAGTCTATTCCTGAAGATCTGCATGAATATAATACCAGTACATTTGAAGAATGTCATTTCTTAAGGACAGCTAACATATACCCAATCCAAATTTTTGCACATTCTGATAATGTTTATTACTGGAGGCTTTTCTACAGGTTAGAATAGAGGGCTTTTCTACAGGTTAGAATAGAGGGATCTAGTTAGCGGTGTGGTGGCTTAGAGGTGGAGTTCTCACCTCACAATCAGTCAGGAGGCTTGTGTGATCGATCCCAGGTAGTGGTAGATATATCTCTCTGTGTGTGAGTAATTGTCTGCTGTGAACTCCACATAGGAGTCAGGAAGGGCATACGGTCTGTAAACACTCAACTCCAATCAGTCGCCCTGACCGCCCCACCGAAGCAAGGGATTGTAGCAGTGGTGGGATTCAGCCAGTTCGCACCTATTCGGGAGAACCAGTTGGTAACTTTCTAAGCAGTTCGGAGAACCGGTTGTTGGAAGAAATCTTTTGTTTTTTCCTACTTTACAGGGCTAATCCTGTAAGAAAGGCAGGAAGGAAACATTCTGGTGTTGTTTCTAGCCTGATCTTTATTGCCCTACTTACAGAAACTGCCTCGCCAGTTAACCCTTATTACCATTGTAACAACTAAGGCGAAGTGCCCATCGACCTGAGTGACATTGACTTGGCCACACCCACATGATCACATGACCACGGAGCCCCACCTACCCAGCTGGTCATTAGGGCAGAGAACTAGTTGGTAAGTTCTTTGAATCCCACCACTGGATTGTAGGGTCATTAAAAGAATACAAGATAAAGAGATCAGCTTTAATTGATTCTTCCCACTCTCTGTTTAAGAAGATGCAGAGAAAGGGTCAGCACCATTTACCAGTCAAACCCACAAAGCGCCTTCTTAACAGTCTTGGTTGGAAATTTAACCAAGAAACACTCACAAGGGACAGTTTTTGTGAGGTGCTAAATAACTTAAGCCTGAGTCTTTCAGTAGATTTAAAGAGTGTTAGGTGATAGAAATAAACAATGTCAAGAAAACAAAAGGACAAAAAGCCATATTTTAGTTTTAGCAAGTCACTCTAACGTCTTTTAGTTTATCTGTGAGTTACATTTGGAATAAGGTATATTTCTTGTCTTGAATCCTGGCTCTGCTGTAGAAATAAAAGTAATCAATAAAACAATGTGTTAATTTATAGAAATACATGATGTACTATATACATTTATGTCTGGTTATCTCTTCTTATGGGGGGGGGGCTTTATTGTATATTATTAATGTCACAAAATATTATTTAAAAAGTTAAAGATAGACATACTAACAACAGCTATGGTATTACTAACAATTGACATACTGCATTCCAAAGACATTATGATTTGAAATGTGGGTCCAAGTATTGCATGTGTGAGTGTGTTGAACACCACACAATAGCAAAGATAATAATGTAATGTATTGATATTTGCCTTTAATTTGATACACTACACTACTGCAACAGTAGGCATGGTTTAAAAGTCGCTGTCATCTGCTTGGCAAATTGTATACAATTGAAACTTTCATTATGTTGGTTGGCCCAAAGAGCAGGAGGAAAATCCAAGGAATTTACTGGTCTTAAAGAAGAATGTATGATAACATAATATGAATTATCAAATCTTCAATTATTAAGTTCAGGTTTGAAAAATAAAACAATGGTGAATTTAGCAGATCCTTATTAGCCTAGAGATTTCCATTTTTGGAATAGGAGAGACAATGAAAACAATATTCTGAATTTTTTTTTTCCTAAAGCTTGTTACCTGTATGAGTTCTTTTGATCATGAGCTGAAATATTGCTGTTTATTATGCCCAGGATAATTTGTTTTTCTCAGACATGCATTTGCAAAACAGAAGTGAGAGAAGATTGTCCAGTCCTCATACTTACGACTGTCATAGCATTCCCACGGTCAATGGGGGAAGCTGGATTATCTTACAACCACGGCATTCACTTAACAATTGCAATGATTTGCTTAACAACCATAGCAAAAAAGTTCATAAAATCGGACATGATTCACTTAACAACTACATTGCTTAGCAATGGGAATTCTGGTCCCGATTGTGATCGCAAATTGAGGACTGCATGTATATATTTGCACTAACTTTCTATTACAGGTAGTCCTTGACTTATGACCACAACTGCAGTTGCAAAAGGAAATGACTTTGGGACACAGCAATGGTCATAAGTATGAATCTGAATTTTGGTTACTTAATCATGGGGATGCTACAAAAGTTGTAATATGAAAAATGGTCATAAGTCACTTTTTTCGGTGACTAAATGAACTATTGTAAGTTGAGGACTACCTGTAATTGCAGGACTACTAAATATTGGAGAACTGGTTATGAGGCAGCAACTAGTTCATATAGGTCACATAGCCCAATGCTCTGATTTGGTATAAGAAATTTCTAAATATACAAAGTTCTAGAATGCTAAAGTAGCAAGCATTCAGTAAGCAAAGACAATTGAAGCATCTCTTCTGTTTTCAGCATATTGAATATATATAACACAATGATATCCAGACTCAGTCTGGCCATGCAAGAAGCAACTTGAGGGGTTCTCTAGCTCCCCATCATCATAGTCGGACTGGTACAACCTCCCTAGTGCATCTGGATAAGTCTTTCCATCTTTGTGTATCACCTCAGCCAGGGAACATAAATTGGAAGAATTTTATAAAACTTCCAGAAGCTACAATTCAGTCAAGACCGTGACTTCAGAATTCATGTCATCTCCAGGAGGAATTCTTGTTTCCAAGGTTGACATCTCCACTTCTAGTCATACTTGCTGGTTAGTCCTATCCATTGTATGGGCGCTGGAGGCATGATCACGGGTGTGCTGGCGGATGCGGGTGGAGTTTTGCTGTTCGATGGTTGAAGTGGTTGGGATACAGAATTCTCTGAAGCATCTTTTGAAGTTTTCATCTAGGAAGGCATAAAGGATGGGATTGAGACAACTATTTGTGTAGCCTAATGCAATGCAGAAGTGCCAGGAGATGGTTTGGAAAGTAGTTTCTGGAATGTGGATTAAGGCTTTGATGATGACGTAAATATGGATTGGAGTCCAGCAGACAATGAAAACAGCCACAACCACAAGGACCATCCTGGTGATCCTCCGAAGATTTCTGTCCTTTTCCTTGGAGCCGGAGAGCATTCGGACGCTCTTCAGACGTAAAATCATCAATCCATAGCAGACCGTTATGATTAAGATGGGCATGATGAAGGCAAAGATGAAAACACAGATTTTCAGTAGGTTCTCCCAATACCAGGCTGGATGCGAGAACTTAAGTGTACAATCAATGGATCCTATGGAAATTAAAAGAAAACAAATGAATTTAAGCAAATCAGGGCAATTTCTTTCAGTGTTGTTATCCCTTCACCTCCTCACAAGCACAAAGATAACTAACAATTGCTTTTATGTAACATAACATGAAACCTACTTGTAATCTTTGTTTTGTGAAAACCTATTCCCGTTAGAAAAGTGTTCAGACTTTTACTGTCACCATTAAGAGGAAAGGTAACAGTTTGCATAATCTAAAAATGCATATGTATGTATATATGTATATGTCAGCATTCCTGAAAACCCCAACACCAATGAAACTGCGAGACAGGCATTTTCTCAAAGCTCCTATTTATGAGAGTAGGTATACAGGAACATCAAACCTGAATCTGAGAATGGCAGTTGGACTTACCTGAACTGCATGTTTCGACGAGAAGTGTGGGAGGAGTAACCATTGGNAGGTTGCCACAAAGAAGACAGAGTCAAACTATTCTCCAAAGCACCTGAGGGTAGAACAAGAAGCAATGGGTGGAAACTAATCAAGGAGAGAAGAACCTTAGAACTGAGGAGAAATTTCCTGACAGTTAGAACAATTAATCAGTGGAACAGCTTGCTTCCAGAAGTTTTGAATGCCCCAACACTGAAAGTCTTTAAGAAGATGTTGGACATCCATTTGTCTGATGTGGTGTAGGGGGTTGGACTAGAAGACCTCCAAGGTCCCTTCCAACTCTGCTATTGTATTGTATAGTGTCCATTCGAAGTCAGGAAAAGAAATTCTAACTCACCATTGCTCTCTTTGGTTGTTGCCATCACCATCACTGGTATACCAATTGCTGAAGAAATAATCCAGTTACAGACATTGACAATCTTGGCATTTCGAGGGGTGCGTAAATCCAAAGCCTTGACCGGGTGGCAAACTGCAATGTAGCGATCCACACTCATGGTGCAGAGGGTGAAAATACTTGTGAACATGTTATAATAATCTATGGATATTACAATCTTACAAATAGTGGTACCAAATGGCCATGTTCCCAGAAGATAATTCACACTCTGAAATGGCAGCGTACTTGTTGCTAAGGCATCAGCCAAGGCAAGGTTGAAAATATAAATGTTGGTGGCAGTCTTCATTTTGGTATATCTAAAAAAAAATCAACAAAGTTGAGGCATGAAACTCTGAACAGAGATCACATGAAATTGCTACAATAGGCTAGTAATTCGCCATGATGGCGAACCTATAGCACGCATGACAGAAACGGCAAGCAGAGCCATCTCTCTGGGCACGCGAGCTGTCCCCGTTGCTCTTCCAGGTTCCAGTGCACTGGTCTTCATGCACACAGGAGTGCTGAAAAGCAGAAGAGCAACCACTCTTCCGGTTTCTGGCATGCACCTGCACACTGGCCAGCTGGTCTTTGCGTGCATATGTGTGCCAAAAACCAGAAGACCAGGTGGCTTGTGCACATGCCTGCACCATAAACTGGAAGATCATCTTCCTGGTGCACATGCTCCTGTTTCGGAACTCAGTGCCGAAAAGTTTTGCCAACACTGAGTTAACACAACTGCAAAAGGCAGAGCTTCCCTTGAGTTAAGCATCTCACTGTATTTTTGTATAAAGAATCAACAACATGGTTTTTAATTAACACAGAAAGTTTAATAAGAAGGGTCTTTCCACCATGTAAATATGCCAGTTCTTTCTCTATCTCAGGAAAAAAAAATTAAAAATACTTCATTGTTTTCCTTTGTCTAACGATATCTTAAATACACAGTACTTTAACATTAAATCATCTCTTAAGGCAAAAAAAGTTTTTGTGTCATGATATTAAAACCCAGATCTTCAATAGGATGTGTAGCAAGCAAAACTAGTATCAAAAGATCATAAAAATTGGTTTATCTCAGCACAGCATTTGCACAAAGAATTAAGCACATTTATATACAACCCCCCCTGTAAAATAATTTGTTTAACAATTACTGCAAAGAATAAGAAACTGAATTGCCTATTTCTTACAATTGAAGTGGCTTCATAGCAACACAAGTCTAGGCATTAAGCACCTTAATATAGAAGGGTTCCACCACAAAACCGCGAAGCCCTTATCCGCGCCGACATAAGTGCGGAGGGCAAATCCGCGCCATTCGAAGCGCTAAGGAAAAATGCGACCCTACCGCAATGACATAATTGCGGAGGGCAAATCTGCGCCTTCCGAAGCACTCAGCACCCTAAACCTAACCCTAACCCTAACCCTAACCCTAACCCTAACCCTAACCCTAA